GGGGGGTAAAGGGCGACCGGAGCGTAAGGCTGTCAACCATAGCGCCATCTATGAGCCGACTCTCTAAAGAAGAAGTGGGACCCTCAACCTGTCACAAACCCATGGGCCTTCACGGCCTGTTACAGGGATAGCTTTACCTTTACCTTATAATCCGTTCAGAATAAGCAGAAGAGTCAGAGTCATGTGGTCTGATGGCTTTCGCAGCCATGAGACCCGCGGGACTCGTAACCAAGAGCCACGGTGCCGACGATGGCCAGCAGCAGTTTAGTAGTCAGTCAGTCAGTCAGTCAGTCAGTCAGTCAGAAGAGTTGCCTTATGAATGCATATTCCCTTTCACCAATGCTTCATTGTTTATCGCCACGCTTATACAAAAGGAATGCTTCGTGTACCGAACAACTACCAATCAATGACAAAATATTTCGCAATACCGTTTTTGAAATATAAATTGTTATGGTCGTCTAGCAACCATACCAAAGACAAAAGAATGGGGAAAGCTATGAAATGATTTTACGGGTATATATAAGCTTGGTTCCAATGATAAATAATTTATTTTCATAGTGTGCATTCTAATGTGTATCACTAATTATAACAAGGTAAGGTTTCCGTAAACACAACAAAAGTGGTTTTAAAATCAGTGAATAATAAGATTTAATTTTATTTTCTACCGTTACATGTTTCGGTCCTCATGGGATCATCATCAAGCAGTATTATGATCGTACGGCTAAAGTTATTGATAAATAATCTGCCGTCATTGTATCTTACCACAAATTGCGTCCATTTTACACCAAGGTCAGAAACACATCCATACACTCAATCTCCTGTTTCATGCTTTACTCTGATATAATCTTTCATTTACCAAATATTATTTTTAATGGATTTTAACTACAGAAAATTTCTATATTCTCTACTTTAATGATGATGATGATGATGATGATGATTAATAATAATAATAATAATAATAATAATTTGAGTTCCTTTACTTGCTTGCCAGCCACGAGTGACCCATAACATGCTAGCACTGAAAGTGTACAGCTTCTTTCCATGAGACTGGACCCATAATAAAATAATTTCCTTTATTCATTCTGAAGGACTGAGAAACTGCTGTCAACGAACGCAGAGAAGACAGGTGGTGTACGGTCCGAGATGA